AACATTTAGGCCATTTTGTCTGATCCTTATTATTACAAACCAGTCCCTCTGTAGGGTTGCAGGTTACTTGTTGTTCTAAATCCTCTAGTGTCAAATCTTTATACGGTGTGGCTCGGCACTTAATTTCTAAAGGTGTTTTACAAAGACTTAAATCAGGATTAGAAATGTTTGCAAGTCTTTCATAATCCCCTTCGGTGTCACCATCTCCAGGGTAATCATTGTTAATCCATTCTGACCACGTGCAAATAAGGCAGTCATTGGTTGTAGTTGGTTCAGGTGGGGTAGTAGTTGCTTCGGTGTGAAATGTTGTGATTGTTGCTGTGGTATCTACTATTTTGTGAGGGGTTGTTGTTGCTGCTATTTTAGTTGTATATGTTTTAGGGGCTGAAGTGGTTGATGAAATTGGATATGATGTGAACACTGGTAATGTTGTTGTTTTAGATTTTGTAGAAACTCTTGGAGTTGAGAAAGTCAGAATTGTTGTTACAGACTGAGTTGTGAAAGTACTAATAGGTTTAGTTGGAATAGTTGGGTGTGTCGTAGTTCTTTCTGTGAGGGAAGAAGAGAAACCAGATAAACCCAAGAAACATGGGAACTCTTGCTGAAAACCCTTAAATGTTGTTCAATGAAATCTGCAACAACCATTTTGTGTTCCTTATCTTACCACTTGTGGTAAATACAAAGACTGGTGTTGTCTCTGGGAGATTTGTAGTTGTATGTTGGCAAGATATCAATCTTCTAACGATGGTTCCATTCTCTCTACAAACAGCAGTGATGCAGGTTCCATTTCCATCATGTGTTTCATAAACTATTTCTCCATACTTGTATGTTCTGTTCATGTAGACACAGGTGCAAGCTGCAAAAGTATGAAATGGCTGTAAAACATTGCAGCTTCTAAAAGCCAATAATTTTTTTTCCTTTTTTAAATTATATTAAACTAAATTGTATAGTGCCAGTCCACGTTGCTGTAATGACAGTGACAAAAATGTAGCTACTGTTTTTTTAAAAGTATGTACATGCATTTGTCTTACTCACCATTCACATCAAATATGCACCTTGACAACATTGAGGAACAATTGCTGCAAGGAAATGTGATTATAAATATTAGTTTTAAAATAATGTAGAAAAAAATTAGCAACTTTAAGGCTGGTTTTATCTTGTTAATTTATTACTTTAGCAAAGACACCAGAATTGTTTTAAGTGGAAAGGATCTTACCACTTATAACAGTTTTCACTGGCAGGCATTGACTCTCCCTCCTTATAATGTTTTCCATCTGTATCATAGCAGCCACACTCTTCGCCAGAGACACACATCATTTTAGCTTCATCTAGGTAAGGTTGTCCATGTGGGCATGTTGGATAGCAGCCTTGAGAAAAACAAAAATCATATAAAAGGTTTACAAATACATTTTTCCTCCTTTGCATTACACTTTTGCATCATAATGTATAGTTATTTTACATGGATAAGTGATTTGCTGTGGGTGTTGGCATGGTATTTTTTAACAGGCAGCAAGAAAAATGCAACACAGAGCATAAACATTATTATATACGAAAGGGAACACACATATCTAGGATATGGGATTAACTTGTATTATGCATTTAATTAAGCTGTTGAGGGATATTCTGTATTTTTATTGCAGAAATATAATTTGAAAGGTGGTCCAATCAGGATAACTTTGAGAAGCTAACGTTCAATAAAAATTCAGATTTTAATGAAGTTAATATTAATATGATGGATTTACAAAAATGTTTGTATGTATTGTGTATTGATCCAATAAAAAAAAAATCTTTAGCTGCATGAATTTTTGTTTTTGTTTTGTATTTCTTACCTTCCAGTGCTGGAATTTTATCGCTGCATTTTCCTGAAGGATTTCTGCATGTCTTCATGCATGGTTTTCCACATGGAGCATAGTGCCACTCACACTCTCCATCAGGGTTGTAATAGTCACAGAACAGAGCTGATAAACAGGACGGGAGCAACTTTAGTATTCTTTCTGCTTTAAGGTTCTAAATCATGTACAGGCAGGGGTGGAAAGTAATGGATTACATTTACTCAAGTTACTGTTATTGAGTACTTTTTATGAGTAATTTGTAATTTTCTGAGTAGTTTTTTAAATATCCCATTTTTACTTTTATTCAAGTAAATTTTAACCTAAGAAGTTT